CCGCCTCCCAAGTAGCTGGGACCACAGGCGCCTGCCACAACGCCTGGCTATTTTTTGGTTGCAGCTGTCATTGTTGTTTTGGTGGGTCCGGGCTGGGGATTCGAACCTGCCACCTTAGGTGTACGTGGCTGGTGCCTTAGCCCGTTGAGCTATAGGCGCCGAGCCAAGTATAATATTTTTAACCTTAACCTCTTCTTTCATCTGTATCTCCTTTCTTTTGTATTTGAATCTTGATTTTTAAGGATATTTAGGGAATGACAGAAGAAGAATATGATAATTTTACATTTGCATTATTTAACATTTGTGCACAAACAATAGTAACTATCATCATATTACTGGAAAGTTTTTTTACATATGTTATCCCAGTTTTTATAGTTAAATGTAAATTGTTAGAACATAGGCCCATTTTAGACTCTATCTTCTTTATAACTCTTGTTGAGTCTTAGTTCTAAAAATATTTTGGATATCTGAAGCTTATTCTCTAGCAAATTCTTATTCCCTTTTTCCATTTTGATAAATACTTTGTAGTCTATATATTTGAAATTTAGCTGGGTATAAAATCTTTGGTTCATGGTTTTTTTCTCTTTAGTCTTAGATATGTTACTTCCCCCTTTTTTTAATTACGTAAGATATTGCTGTAAAGTGATGACAAGTTGCTTTTATTTCCCTTGTAAAAGGCATGGTTTTTAGACACAATGCTCAGAGAATTTTTTTTTGCTATTAACTATGGTGATTTGATATTTATTCTGGGTTGATTTTTCTCCTATATGTGATATGACCAGTATAGTTTCACATCTTTTTTGGGTTAAGTTCATAAAAATATTTTTGAATTTAAGCTTTAAACACTTTAGTATTCTGTTATCTTGCTTTAATTTAATTATGTAAGCTTTTTTTCTGTGTTCTAAATTTGTGACTTTTCTCTTTAAATATTTTTATCTTTTTGTCCTTTTTGATTTTTTGTTTTTTTCTCTTGTTTCTCTTGTCATTTTTATAAATTTTATTTTATTCATTTTTATGTTCCCTCTAACTTAGTCTTCATTTCTTTTTTTTTTTAATTAAATGATAGCTGTGTACATTAATGCAATCATGGGGTACAGTGTGATGTTTTCATATGTAATTTGAAATAACTTCATGAAACTGGTTAACATAGCCTTCATGTCATTTTCTTAGTTATTGTGCTAAAACATTTATATTCTACTTCAAGAAAGATTCACTTGTACCCTTAGTCTTCATTTCTGATATGATTTTCTCTTTCATTTTTAGTTTTTATCACCTGATTTCTGATTTTTTTCTCAGTCATGCTTGTCTTTGAGTATAAAATGTTTGTTAGCTTGTTTTGAAAGCTATCAGCTTTTTGGGAGTTACGGGCTTTTCAGAAGGAATGTTGTCTTTTTTTTTTTTAATACTAAGTTTGTGAGGGACTAGGCCTTCATCCTTTTCTCTTGTTGGATTTCATATCTCATATGCAATTTGTTTTAGATGGTATGGTTCAGGAGGACTTCGCTGTTCTCTAGCACTTCTTCATTTATTTTTATGTAGAGTTCCAAAATATGGTGGCTAATTCATACATCCACTTTTCATTTGAACTTTCTTGTTCCTTTAGTTGTATTATCCTTGTGCTGCTCACCTGGGATTTCATCCCCAGCATTTCTTTTGAGCCTGAGGCTTTAACCTGGGAGGGGCCTTGACTGATTAGTTTTGAGAGTTGTGTAGTACAGCCAGATCCAGTCTCATCAATCCTTACCTGGATCTGTTGCATCCCTTCCTGTTTCAACACTTGCACTCACAATGTTGTTGTGCTTTCTTAGAAGTAGCTCCTGGTAGTTCTGGGATTCTCAAGATCATCAAAGGCACGGTACTTCCTTCTGCTTCCTTCCTTACAGTTACTGAATGCCATGTAGATCTTGTTGCCATCTGGTTTGTCTTCACCTACTCAAATTTTGGGATTTATAGAGATAGGAGATAATGTCCCCAGTTTTGTTGTAGATGTTATCCATGAGTTTTGAGTTTTGCTCTCCAATTGTCTTGTCTGGCTTTTGGGGGAGGGGGGGTTCAGGGAGATTAACCAACAGTGCCGCTGCCCCAACCATGTTCAATATTAACCTTCAGGACAGTGATTTATGAGAATATTAAGTAAACTGATGGTGATAAGGCCGTTCTGTGAGACTATTTTTAGGCAAGAAAGTCATTCCAAACCTTAATTAATTATAATTACTTTCAATTAGTTGGCCATGGGAATAAAACTAAAAATAAAAAGAAACAGCTTTATTTGGAGAAAAAACCCTTTTTATTGACCATAATTTATATTGAGTTGATGCTGAGCCAGAATAGTTCATTTAAAATACTGTGTTTTTATCATTTGTGGAAAGGAATTCCGGAAAAACACAAAAGATTTTTTTTGTCACTATTTTGAGTTATAGAAAGATAAAAAAACTTATTTTTCACTTAAACTGTTTTGACTATTATAAGTAAATAATCAAATAGGAGATTGCTCTAATGACTTGATAAAGTTGGATAAAATTCAGAAGGCATCCATTTTAGTATTTTGAAGTAGTGTATATTGTTACTGCCATAGATATAAATTACCTTTTTTTGGCATTTTGAATGTGGGGTCTTTTGGTTGGCACTGAAATTTTATTCAGCACGATTTTACCATGATTACAAACACATTAATTAAGAAAATTAATTGATATAAAGAAGTGACAGAGGCACTTTTGAACATGTTTTTGTTAACTTGGAGAAGATTTAGGTAGCAAAGATACATTAATATTCTGTAGGAAAAGTTTCAATTTAAAAATTCCCAATAAATTAATAAAGAACATTTACGTATATGACGTTTGTTTATGTGGAGTGATGACATTTGTTGAAAAGTTCTAGTCAAATGTAGTTCATATGCATGTAACATATCTAAACATACCTAGGCTTAAAACTGAATTATGAGTTTCTTTCATCTGAATAGCCATTTCAAATTCTGCAGACTGTCTTAACAATTCTTATTAATTTCCTTTCTTTACTGTATCTGAAGAGTAACAGGGAGAATACAGCTGTTTAGTCATTTGGGTTCATGAAAAAGGCAAAGCTAGTGACACCCAGCATCCCTCCGGTTCCTTTGTTACCAATTATCCTTTAGAAGATGATGACCAATTCATATATATCACTAACACATAAGTTTACCCTAACATTTGGGGAAAGCAGTGTTTTACTGTGAAATAGCACTGGACTGAAATGAAAAGACCTGGATTCCAGGTATGATACCATTTAGTTGAGTAAACTTGACCAAGTCACTTCACGGTGGGCTTTAAGTGCTTTATAGAAGCCTAATAGATAATTTGTTTGAAATCTTTTTCAGTTAATATTTGTAGAACCAAGAATCTGAAATCACACAACATATGCATTGCTCAAATGTGTATACCTCACAAAAATATACATTGAATTCTTTCACTTAGTGAAGTGAATTACTTGTTCCCCTTAACTTCATAGAGCAGTTCTTTTTCATTGTTGTTATATAGCATTTTTAGTTATAGATGATATTATGTTGCTGGAACTTAAGCCTCAATGTTTCCTTGAAAATAATTGCATATATTGTTTTATTTATCGTCTCCTCTCCAAAGTTAGATAATTGAATAGGATTTGAGCCATATAAATTAGAATTAACAAATGTGCTTTATTTAAGTTTTAGAGTAAGTAGGAATTTGAGAATGTTTTAAACACTTCTGAGATGATAATTCTGAGTGTTGCTTTGTTTGCTATTACAGTGAAAATGCCTCGTGTAAAAGCAGCTCAAGCTGGAAGACAGGGCCCTGCGAAAAGACATCTTGCAGAACAGTTTGCAGCTGGGGAGGTAGTGACTGACATGGGAAAAAAAGAATGGAAAGTAGGATTACCCATTGGCCAGGGTGGCTTTGGCTGTATATATCTTGGTAAGTGTGTGACTGTTTCTGATTATCAGCCCAAAGATTTATATGCTTTCATATCAAAATGGTTTTGCAATTATGAGCAATTACAGAATGTTCCTAATAATTTGCAATAATCACACAATAATGTTGTGTGATTAAGCCAAAGTGTATTTCTAACATAGGAATGGAAAAGGATGATTGTTAATTTAATCATAATAGAAAAAGTGGATAAAGTAACTGTAATATTTTCATTGGTAAGCACTATAGTTTTTGATTTTTAAGATACTCCATATAATCTTAATCTCTTGAGCCCCTCTTTGTACATCTATCCTGTACCACCTCCACCTAGTTAGAATTTATTCCCTTTGTGTTTGTCTAATATGGAGGTTTGCAAATCTCTTACAGGTGTAGATTTGTTTTCTTTCTGTATAACCCTAATAGTCTTCATAGTGGAATTAGGAGAATTAAGTAGAAATTGAATGCAGTTCATGTTTGCTTCTGATATTTCTCTCTAACTTTTCCAATTCTGTATTCTTACTCTGTATCAAATCTTGTTTTAATTTGAGATTTGAAGTCTGCCATAGAGGTTTATGAATTTTTATTGTTAGCAACAGAGCTCTTTTTTTCCTTTTAAGTAACATCTTACTTGGCATATTAATAGTATGGCTTAGGTTAGTGTTGCCTGGAACCTGTTAGAACTGCAAACTCTTGAACCCTGACCATAGACCTAGAATTAGAAACTATAGGGAGCAGGCTGGCAGTGTGGTTGAGCAGGTCCTCCAGGTGCTTCTTGTGCAGGCTAAAGTTTGAGAATACTGACTTAGATAAAATAGCACTTGTTTTACTCGAGAGGGATCCCACTTAACCTCTTCCAGGACCAGCAGGCTGCCATCAGCTCCAGGTGGTCAGCTGCAGTTTCTGGAGCTTTCTTCACAAAACATAGCTTAAAATTTGAAGCCCTACCATATTTTACACATATATCACACACCTATTTCCCATAGGTCATTGACTCCCCTTTTGGGGAAATATATGTTGATTCCCTACTTTTGTTTAAAGTCAAGCCCACTCCAGTGAGCTAGGCTATATCTGATTTAAGATAAAAGTCCTTGTAAGCCATGAAAGAGTAATAGCTATATCAGCTATATCAGGAGTAGCAACATCAGATTTAGAGGAGATGGTGGATTATGTAAGCTGTTTCTACTGTAGGATGCCTGGACTTACGACATCCCACATTAATTGGGAACTTGTCTCTAAATAGGTAGGTTTTTCATTTTATGATAATTTGCTTTTGTAAACTTTTACAAATTTGGAGGTTGCTGTGTATGTGTGCTAGCTGTTTTATTTGTATATATTATCATAAAGTGCCATATAATAGTATCTTTAATATTCTTTGTTTTGACAGATACCTGTAATACAACTTTACTTCTGTAAACCTCTGTTGAGCATTCTGTAAAATGAAGGATTTGCTTGAATATTGCTGCCTCTAGTTTCTCTCTCTGTGTCACTACTGAAAATCTGAAACAGCCATATTCAAGATAATCAGCACTTTCTGTTACATGAATTAAAAGGATTACTTTTGTATTTTCTTTGGATTTTTTTTCTGCAGCATTTGATACCGTTTATCTTTCCTTCTCAAAAAAACGGCTTTGATTGTCTTTCATGATAACATACCTTCCCATCTGGTTTTCTTTCTATTTTTCTGGGTACTCTTGGTCATCTTTGGAGATACCTCTGTGGTCTTTAGCTTTCCTTCCTTGGCTAACTTTGCATTCTGTATATTCTCATTGAATATCATGGCTTCTGTTACTGTCCTCTTACTGCTGATTTTCATATTTTTTATCTTTAGACTAGGCCTTGATTTTCTTGGTTTAGGCCTATGGCCAGTGGCCTAAGAGGGATTTGTACTTGGATGTTCCACAGGCATGTCTATAACTTAATGTCATCCAGTGTACTTGGATGTTCCACAGGCATGTCATCTTGTTCCATTTCCTCATAATTGCTCATGATGAGGAGAGGATTGTCTGAATGAATGATACCCCTCAAGCCAAAAACTGGGAAAGCATTCTTGAGTATTCCTTTACTAATACCTCTAGTATCTTTTCTAGTTCTATTGTTTTACCTGTGTGACTTCTCAGATCCATTCATTCTCTGCATCTTTGCTGTTATTGTCCTAGGTCAGGTCATTATCTGGACTTTCTCTGTAGCATCAAATCTCTGTCTCAGCCTTGCCCTCTTGCACCCCATTGTTTATAGTGTGCCTTGAGTGACCTAGCATATGAATCAGTTCTTATGATTATCTTGTTTAAACCTCTTCAATGGTTCCTCAGTACCCGTAGAATAAAGTGCAGACTTTTAAGAGTACCTTATAAGTTCATACATAACTTTTATCTTTATTCCTTTTATTGTCTCAAAATCTATGCGTTGGCTGTCTGTCTGTCCTTTTTTACCTGTTTATCTTTGTACATGATACTTTAAAAAATTAATAATATATTTAACCCAGTGCATCCAACAAATATGTAATTTCACATTGCATTTAAAATTATAAATAGAATTTTTTACATTATTTTTATACGAAGCCTTCAGAAATTTTTTGGTACCTTTATTGAGATATAGTTGATATACCTGGAGCATTGTTGAAGCTTCCCAACTGATTTACCTGCTTTTGCACTTTCCCCTGTGCACCATTTCTCACAAAGCAGCCCAAAGAAATCTTTAGAGATCAAGGTCTGACTTTGCTAATCTTCTTCTCAAAACCTTCCAATGACTCCCCTTTCATATTCATAGTAACAGCTAAAACCTTCATGTTACCCGAGTAGCAAACATAGAGGCCATCATGTTTGTTCTCTGATGCTTTTCTGATCCCCTCTCCTGTTCCTCTGCACTCCAGCTGTTTTGACCTCTGTTCTTTCCAAATATGTTAAACACACTCCCACATAAGGGCCTTTGTGGTGGTTGTCTGGAGTGCTCTTATTGGCTTATTCCCAGATTCTTACATGGCTTATTCCTTCACTGCTCAAATCACACTCTTGTCAGTGAGCTCTCTCTTACTACCTTGCACACTGCCTCCTTTTGTTTCCTGCTTAATTTTTCCTCTGTAGCAGTTAGTGCCAAAAAATAATTCTTTTTTTATTTGTTGTCTACATTCTTCCTCTGAAGTGGTAACTTTGTGAGAGTAAGGATTTATTTATTTATTTTTTGTCTGATCATTGCTAAATTCCTTTTTCTTAGAAATTGGCACATAGTATTAAGAAAATATTTGTTTAATGAATATGGGCATTTTTATATTACACACTATTCCAGGGCTGCTTTATTAGCATGAAATAAAATGAAAGTCATATTGTAAATATTCTGGATGTCAGTGAAAAAAAAGTTGTAGTGCTGACATCCTGAACTATTGATCCAGACACATTTTTATCAATCTAGTGCTTTTTTAAAAATTTTAACTCCCTTAATTTCTTACCTTTCAATGTTCCTTCTTAAAAGGATTCCATAGTTTGTTAAATTTAAGAAATCTAAACATTTATCCTCTGGTGGGAATTCAGTATATACAATGGCATATCAAAGGCCCTGAGTACTTTTGTTTAACTCAAAGTTTTCCAGACTTAATTGATGGTCATATTTAAGAAACCAGAAATTAAAAGATCCATTCCAATTTTAGACATATTAAAACATGAGACAGTCTTAAAATTGGTGACATATACTGTAATGATATCCTAAAACATCTATTTGGGAGGCTTGGTGCTTATAGCACAGTGGTTATGGCACCAGCCACATACACCAAAGTTGGTGAGTTTGAACCTGGCCCGGGCCAGCTGAACAACAATGACAACTGCACCAAAAAATAGCCAGGCATTTTGGCGGGCGCCTGTATTCTGAGGTGGGAGGCTGAGGCAAGAGAATCATTTAAGCCCAAGAGTTTGAGGTTGCTGTGAGCTGTGACACTACGGCACACTACCGAGGGGGATATAGTGAGATTCTGTCTCAAAAAAACCCCCAAAAACCAAATATTTGGGAAATGAAACTTATTCAATCAAGGGGTAGCAGAAAACAGATCTGAATATTAATATAACATTTATAATGCTACTTTTTCTGATACTAAGTATTTCACTTTTTTAAACAGCTGATACAAATTCTTCAAAATCGGTTGGCAGTGATGCACCCTGTGTTGTAAAAGTGGTAAGAAAGTATTTTAGCTGATTTTATTTGATTTGGTGTAGTATTTGTTTTGTAAAGCATCCTTTTTGATAACTAGGATTAGTTAAACCATAAGGTATTACATTTTTAGTAAATATTTAATGAGATATAAAAATAGCCTTATAGTTGTCAGTAACTTGAGTTCAGAAAGTCCCCCATCTCTTTTGAATTAGAGTGGCACTGGTATCTGGTGAGAAATGAAGAAAAGTGTAGAGGTATGCATATGTGGAATAAAAGTATTCAGCTCATTTAAAATATTTCAGCTATTTATAAATGCTTTTTATATTTATAGCCTGCAAAATCATGCTAATTTAACATTATTTTATCTTATTTATTTATTTATGTTTTTTTTTGCGTTTACTCCTGGACTTTCACTTGGTCAATTTTTTCTTTCTGTTTATTCCCCATTTTCTTCCCTATCCCTTCTGTAAATGAAATTATTTAAGTGTGTTTGCTGGATCTTCTTTGGCTGCAATAATGTTGAAATTAGTGGGAATGAGTAAAAGTTGGTAGTATCCCGTCTGACATAAGCATACTTTGACTAGCCAGGTCAGTTCTTTGATACATGGGAAGAACATCTTTTGTTAAATAAAAGAATAACAGGATGTGTTATTTGGGCAAATTAACATATAACTCCCCCTACTTTTTTCCCTAAAGGATATAGCAATCCAGGAATTAAAATTACTGGAGCCAGTTTTTCTGTTTTGTTAAAAAACAAGCAAGCAAACAAACCACCACCATCACCAACAAAAACAAAAACAACCTGACCTCTTTGGAGCCAATGTTTTTGGACCTGAATGGTTTTCATGATTTTTAAAAAATATTTTATTGAAGCATAATTTTTATTATACATAGGTGTTTATTACACATAAATATCAAACGATTTGAAGACTTTCGACAAGTGCATATACTGTGTACCTCTCACATCTATTAATACATACAACATTTCTGTCACCCCCAAGATTCTTTATCTTCTTCTCTGGTTAAGCCCCTACTTTCCCACACCCTTGAAGGCAACCACTTCTCTGTATTTTTTTTGCCATGAGTTATTACTGGTCTAGACTGTTGGGTAAATGGTATTTTACAGTATATAGTATTTTGACTTCTTATCCTTAGCATAATATTTAAGGATTCATACATATTGTTGGTATATCAGTCATTTGTTCCATTTTATTTCTCTGTTGATAGACATTGGGTAGTTTCCGGTTTTGGCTGTTATGAATAAAATTTCTATAAACATTCTTGTATAAATGTTTTCATGAATGTAAGCTCTATTTTTGTTGGATAAATACCTAGAAGTAGAATTGCTAGTTTATAGGGAAGGTGGCTGTGCCGTTTTACACATTGACAGATAAAGTATGAGAATTCTGATGGCTCCATCTTTTTTCCAACATTTGGTGGTGTTAGTTTTGTAGGGGGGTTTGCCGTTAGTGGTCCTGTAGCTGTGTTTCCTTCTAGTTTCAGTTTGCATTTACTTAATGACTAATGATTTTGAGCACTTTTTCTTTGTGCTTATTGATCATTCATGTATTTTCCTTTGTGCTGAGACTCCTCTTTTTTTAAAATGAAATAACTGGTTTGTTTGCTTTTTATAATTGAGTAATAAGAGAGTTTTTCTGGATACAAGTGCTTTTTCAGATATATGTGTTATAAATATTTTCTCCTAGTTTGTAGTTTGCTTATTCATTTTCTGGATGCTTTCTCTGCATCTATTGAGATGGATCACAGGATTTTTCTCCTTTATTTTGTTAATGTGGCAATTACATTGATTAATATTTGAGTGCTGAACTAACTTTGTATTCTTAACATACGCTCATTTAGTCATGGTGTATTATAGTTTTTACATAATGCTGGAATTGATTTGCTAATATTTTATTAAGGATTTCATGAGGGATATCCATCTTTAATTTTTCCTCCAGTATTTCTAAGTTTAAAATTTTCTAATCTTGTTGTTTTGTTTTGGTACCAGGGTCTATGTTTGGTCTAAGTCTCTTTCTTTTTACTCCTAGTGCTATTAGGAAAAAAACCTAGGGCTGTTATGGGGATCACTTTGTTTTATATGTTTTAGGGGTCACAGTTCATATTTTCTGATTTTTGGAAATAGTAATTTTCCTATTTTTTTGTTCACCTTTATATTTGTTTGCAATGGGAGGCTAATTGAGTCTCAGTGCTTCTCCCCTACAAGAAAGTGAAAGTGATGACTTTAAAATTATGTGTTAGTGTTTTTATTTCTCCTGTCAATTCCCTTCTCTTGATTCTCTTTTATTTTGAATTTTTCTTCTTTTTCATTTGTGGAGTAACATTTCTTTTCAAATAGGTTGCTACTAAATCAGAGGAACTAAGTAAGGTTCTTACTATTAAATTGGATCATTTGCATTTAATTGCAGAATATTATCTGCATTTGTCTTTGATATAACAAATTAAAATATTAAAATCTGTGGGTAAGATTAGTTTCTTCTTAGGATCATCAAAAGATTTCCGTGTTGGGAAGGAAGCAGGTCTCCTTATGATGTCTCGTGATCCTGAGGTTCAAATGACATGGTTACCTCTGATCCCTTAATTTGTATAATCGTTTCCATGTTTTGGAAGGAAAGCATACCAGTATCTTAATATATAAGTGGAACTGGTGTACAACCATTTCTTTTTTGTTGTATATAATTTGAGTTTCTTTAAGTTGTGTTTTATCTTAGAATTACGATATTCTTTTTATTGTAAGTAGAAAAATTTCAGTTGTTATTCAATGTAACTTCACTTTTACTGTCTTTTGTACTTAAAACAGTTAAGGGAAAAAATGGAAAGGAAGAGATATTTCCTGTATGCTTAAAAGGTAGCAAATAACTACATTTCTAAGGGCATTTGATAAAACCTTATTCAGTACTCCACATCTCCTGTCTTCTAATTTTGTTCTTTCTATTATCCTTTATTACTTCTCTTTGTAATTAGGGCAGTAATAAATATTCAGTTGATTTTTCTTTTGCATTTAGTATTTCAATAACTTTTTCAATGTTATAATATCTTGGAAGAATGCCATAAACAAAACAACATTACTGACTTTCCCTTTGAAGGGGAAATTTAGTAACCGCCATTTGCTTCTTTCTCCCTGGATACTTGCTTTTTCCAGACTCTTTTAAACTCTATAGCACTTCCTTGTATTAGACTTTATTTTACAGTTTCACATGCTAATATCCTCCTTTTGCCACTGGTTGTTTGTTGTTTTTTGTGTGTTTATCTTCCTAACTAGATGTTATTTGAGAAAGTCCTTGCTTTTAATTTTTTTCCCTTATGCAATCTTTAAATGCCTATTTATTTTTGAATATTTTTTAGCTATAATTATCCACCACCTTTTTAGTGCTCTGTTTACTGTCATTTTCCTGATGCCACTTACTTTCCTCTCTTGTCTGCATCCAGAGTAGGCCCATTCCTAATTTGCCTTCTTATAGTTTCATATTATTAAAAGTTGGAATGGTTCATTAAATAGAAACATGTAAAATGAGTATCAGTTCTTTTCAGAGCTAAAATCAGAACTGTTCATCAACATTTGCCATTTAAAACATTAGAGGCTATTAAAAATCATGTTTTCAAAGAATACATATTACTCTTTGGGGGTAATTTCATAATTACTAAAAAAAAGCAGGATGCAAAGCTCTGTATGTAGTATGAAGGTTGTTTTATAAAATAGCTATAGATGAAGAAAAGACATTGAAATGTTTCCATAATTTCTATAACAAACATATATTTTATCTTTAGAGAAAAAACTTACAAGTGATATTTAAGAAATAAGGACAAATTGACGTTTAATGTGAAATTACATCTAGTAATGTAATAATATATTAAACAGTTGTTCTCAAGCCTAGTTGTGCAGAATAATCAGAATCTCTGGGTATAAGGCCTGGGAGTTGGTACTTTTAGTAAAGCTTCTTAGGTGATTGTTTTGTGCATCAGGTTGAGAACCACTGACAGAATCTGGCATGTGAACCACCGTAGTTACTTTAAATGGGATCATGTGTTCTCTTTTTGCTCCTTTTCGTCAGTAGGGGCTTGCAGGTACTCTTCTTCTGGTAAGGGTTTCCTCCTCGTTAAAGTAGAAGATTTGTCAAGAAATTTAGTTACTGCTTGTAATACATGTATCTGCTTTATGACAGAACTGCACATAGTTAACCCGTAGATTTCTTACATTGGGCATTGGAGTGAAGTTAATACATACACATTCAAGGTAAATGTCTAAGCACCCACTCAATTCTCCCTCCTGCCAAACCATGGTCTCTGGCTTCGTTTGGGGTTGTAATGCTTGACTTAAAGGAGCAGGGAGAGTGGAGAGTGGTGTTTTCTCTGCTTCTAGATTACTAAGAGACTCTGTCTCTGTTTTATTTCAGGAAAGTAAATGTGCAGAGAGAAATGGTAAATTGCTAAGTTGGATAATGCAAAGAGAAAGAAATTCTCTTGTGTTTTCATGCTGACAGAGTTGACCATTGTAGTCATGTCAACAGCAGAGCTGGAGGTAGAGGTCAGGCTTTTGGATGGTATCCTGGTTCATTGTATCATGGTCCTTTCCCAGAGTGAATTGATATAAATCTGAATTTCAAGGTTCCTTGGAAAGAAGTTTGCAGACTGATGTTTGATTTTCCTCACTGATGTTATGAGAAGTGACCTGAATTTTCAATTCACGTATCATAATTTTTTGGTAGGAAGGAGAAACTTTGTACAGCTTCATTTTTAAATGGCAGCCAGTTGCTTTTAGATGGTGCCATTGAAATATATCACATTTTAATTTTTTTCTGTTGTCATCTTCATTTTGACACTTAGAAGTCTTAAAGAAACGTTTAGTGATATTCTAGTTAAAATGTCAGTCCCAATTTCTTTTCTAAATCTTGGCTATTACAGAGTTGGCAAAGTATTTTAGATTTGAAATATGTTAATAAAATTTTAGTTATGAGTTAAGGTATTTTCTTCAACAGAAATAGCTAGCTTTGGCTAGAGTGCAATGCCAAGGAAGTAGGTCCTTTATTTTGTGATAATGGAAGTTTATTGGATTAGAAAAAGTATGAAATGAGCTCAAAGGGCCTTCATTTTAGTGGGGTTTTTATTATAATGGCCTGGTTTATGCGGTTGATTCCCATTATTATTAGTTTAATAAATTATTGCCTGAAGGGAAACTTGAAAATTAAAGCTGATACGATGTAGGTTGAAATGAATAAATCAGAATTTTATATTGATGATAAGCCAGGAAAACCTTAAGTCTTAGGAAAACCTCTTTCAAATCTGAATTATGTTAATGAGATAGCCCCAAAGTTAGCCTTTCGAGAGTAACTTTACCAAAATTTCTTCTTGAATTTCCATTTCTAACACTGATTTTTCAGACTCCTGCTGAAGGCCTATTCTCAGGCATTGGCTGGAAACATTCACAAGTGTCTATCTGGCTGTCATTGCTGCTAGGAAAGGAGCCACAGGTTATAGAGAAACTTGAGGTACTGAGTCCATAAATTAAGGATTCGGCACTCACATTTTTAATATATTGGTTAGTTCCTACTTCTTATGGAGTTGATGACATGGCAAACCCATGTATATCATTCTCTTCTTGTTTGTTACTTACTGTAACAAAAAAGGCAAGCTTATTTTCAAGTTTTGATCCAAGTGTCAGATGTACTGCCCTTTTGCTGTGAAATGCTCATTCTGCCTATTTGCAGATTGGCTAATTAGTCTTCCTCTAAGTGCTTTAACTAGGGATTCCTTATTTTCTTAATTACAAGAAATCTGTGATACTAGAACTATGTGTATAGAGTGATTTTCTATGATAGGTAAGGGTATCTTGAATGAAAAAAAAAAGTAAATGTGTTTTAAGTGTTTGCAAAAGGTATCTCCAGTAACCTCAAACTCAGTTTTCTCTCTGTTAAGGTAGTGGGCTTCATTTATACTTCTCATAATACTCTACTGCAGGCTTGAACTCTAGCTACACAGATACTCTGTCCAGAATAATTTTTCTCTATACTTCCTGAAAAGAAAAAGACTCCTAAAATTAGTTTAGAAATGTTAGGTTCCTCATTTGAAGTTTTCATTGGTTTAAAATTTTTTCCTGATCTTTAGTAAACAAGAAAATTATACAAAATACCAAACATTAAATAAATACTAACCAAATTTTAGTCAGATAAAATTTATTATTTAAAAAGTCTACAAAATTATAAAGGCTTCTCTACCCTTCCATATTTATATATAACAGTGCAAAACTTCTGTCAGGTTATTATTTTTTTGTTTGTGCAAATACCCTTTAGTAAAAGTATGTCTCTTTACTAACCGTTTTGTTAATATCACTTAAAATATGAAATAAATGTAGTTGGATAAAGTTGGTAGAAAACAGTTGCTAATGAGCCACATTTTCTGCTTGACTTTATTGTGTGGGAAAGAAGTTGTAAGGGATTTTTGGTTTGAGAAAGATGGGAATTAGTGTCAGAAAGAAAAGGATGCAGTTAAATGGACAGTGTATGCTCATGCGGGAGATCCAGAATACACACTGTTCTTAGCCGTAAGGTCTGTTTCAGCCAATCACGATAAACTAAATAGTACTGTAATAAGAAACAGGAAAGGAATGGATTTTGCCACTAATTGGTTAAATCAGGTATTGAAATTTTATTAAATCTCAGAAATATCTTGTAGCCCCTTGGTGATACAGTTAACATGATTGCTGATCTTTGCTTAAGGGGAATCTTAATAAAGATGAAATTAGTATAAACGTTTTTTTAAACTCCTGCAAAGACCGAGCTGTATATCTGATTTTGTATAATTTATTACTTATAGAAATGGAACTTGAAAGAAATAGAAGATGTATGGACTTAAATTTCTCTCAACATTTCTAAGAAATTTGACTTAATCTTTAACACAGTTATAAATTTAAGTATCAAAATTACATTGTTTGGAAAGAAAAATTCGTTAGTCTTTTTTGAAGGTTCATTGAAAAAAAACTCAGTAATTTTAACTATTGCTAGTCTTAATTAACTCTTATGTTTTAAGGAACCCAGTGACAATGGACCTCTTTTTACTGAATTAAAGTTCTACCAGCGAGCTGCTAAACCAGAGCAAAGTAAGAAATACAATGTACATGTTTACACTTTTTAAATGACCACTATTTTTGTTTTGTTTAAGCCAAGACTAGAGCATCATATTTTATTTTTTGACTGTTTAGTATTTCTTGTGTTGTAAATTCCATTTACATGCAATTTGTATGAAAGAATTCTGATTTCTTAATGCGGTGGTCCCCAACCTTTTTGGCACCAGAGACTGGTTTTGTGGAAGACAGTTTTTCCATGGGGCAAGGGGAGGTTGGTTTCGATGTGTGAATCTGCAAGCATTTAATATAGTATGGTCTCTGCAGCCATACTTCTCTGCTAATGATTATCTGTATTTGCAGCTGTTCCTCTGGGCTAGCATCATCACCTCAGCACCAGGCACTAGATTCTCATAAGGAATGCAACCTAGATCCCATGCGTGCATAGATTGTAGTAGGGTTTGTGCTCTTAAGAGAACCTAATGCCTGCTGCTGCTGTTCTGACAGGAACCAGAGCTCAGGCAGTGATGCAAGTGCTGGGGAGCAGCTATAAATTCAGCTGAAGCTTCACTTGTCTCCTGCTGTGTGGCCCAGTTCCTAACAGGCCACATAACAGTACTGGTCCACAGCTTAGGGCTTGGGGACCACAACCTTAATTTGTTGGTTGTGATAAGATTTCATGTTATTGATATATAGAATAAAGTTATAAATGATGTATAACTTAGGAAATATTGAGAATTAACCCTGATTGATGAGTATAGCTCTAGGGTCTCCAAATCATTTTGAGTGTTTTTTTTAGATTATGGAAAACATAACCTGAGGGAAGGCCATAATTGGTGAAGTAAGATGGGATATCAAGGTAGAGAGCAGAACTTTAGTTACTCTTGTCCCTTCTATTATTCCCTCACTTCCCTTTTAAGAGTCCAAGGATTCTCCTGAGAGGGTGGTATCAAGCTTGGCAATTTCTCAAGGAAGGCTTCCATCTCCCCATGACCTTGATTTCCTCCCTAGTGACTTTTATTATAGATTGAGGCCAACTTTTATATTGGTATAAAAAATTAGGTCTTTCTGTGGAAGCAGGTAAACATTTTCATAATTAGAGAGATTGACTGCAACTTCAGTGCAGCTGAGGTTCTGCATCAGATTCAACTGAGGATTGAAAACACTTGAAGAAAAGGAAAAACCAACAGTAAAAAAAAAAAACAAAAAAACAACAGTATAGCAATAAGTAACACATTTAAAAAATACAACCATGTCCATAGAATTTATATTATATTAGTTATAAGTAATCTAAAGATGATTTAAAGCGTATGTGAGGATTTACAGTGGTTACATGCAAATACTACATACTTTATATAAGGGACTTGAACATCCATGGAGTTGTGGTGTCTTGGAGCGGTCCTGGAACTAAGGGATGACTGTATTGTTGAGATCTTTTTTAAAATGCTTTTTGTAGATTTTTCAGTTTAAAGACAATTTTAAGGACAGGATAACAAAGTTTGATAGTTTAATAAAAATGCCTTTATTTTAAAGTACTTCTCACTTATTGGTTATACTGTGTATTCTTCATTTTCTTTTCTGTGGTAAAGATGAATTCTTGTTGCATGTGTAGGTGCATTTTACTTTTAATGTTTTTTTAAGAATTGTCATTTACGTATAACAATTAAAATCACGAGTATCTGTTTTAACTTGTAGTTCAGAAATGGATTCGTACCCATAAACTGAAGTACCTGGGTGTTCCTAAGTATTGGGGGTCTGGTCTTCATGATAAAAATGGAAAAAGGTAAAAATATATATGATTTGTTTTTCTTCTTCCTTTTATAAGCATTCACCGTCCAGTTGGTTTATTCAAGAATTATTTACTGGCTAGGCATGGTGGCCTGTAATCTTAGCTGAGGGAGGTGGATTGCTTGAGCTCAGGAGTTTGAGATCAGCCTGAGCAAGAGCAAGACTCCATCTCTACTAAAAATAGAAAAACTACCCAGATGTAGCAGTGCACACCCATAGCTGCAGCTACTCGGGAGACTGAGGCAACAGGATTGCTCAAACCCAAGAGAATTTGAGATTGCTGTGAACTGTGGTGCCACAGCACTCTACCCAGGGCAGTAGAGTAGGACTCTGTCTCAGAAAGCAAAAAAAAAAAAAAGAATTATTTACTGAGCATCTTTAGTATTATTAGGCCTTCATCTGGGCTATGGAGTGTGTGTAACACAGATGAGAAAGGTTATCTCTGCAGTCAGACCATCTGCTTCCCATAGCAGCAAGCTGTGATCCTGTGTCAGAGTAGAGGTTACTCTCTAATCTGTGGATTTCTACAGAACAGTATCAACTGACAAACCCAGCAGACAAAGTGGAACAAAACCAAATAGGCCCTTAATTTTTTTTTTTTGCCTTTAAACATAAACAAAATCCCATGTTCTTTATACAAAAGAGGGCCTTTTAGGATTCCTTTTTGTATTTTATGTTATATGTATATAATGTACCCACAGAAAATTAGACTCACTCTTATTTATAAGGGATTCCTTCTAGATAGTGAGAGAAAGAAAATATGAAACAGAGAACAATTAAGTGTTATTGTGTGATTCTGACTCTTACCTGTCTTAGGAATTCACAGAGTGGAGAGAATGCATACTTTGAGCTAATGAAATTTTGTTTTTTTTTTGAGACAGAGCCTCAAGCTGTCCCCCTGGGTAGAGTGCCGTGGCATTACAGCTCACAGCAACCTCCAACTCCTGGGCTCAAGCGAGTCTCCTGCCTCCACCTCCCAAGTAGCTGGGACCACAGGCGCCCGCCACAACGCCCCGCTATTTTTTGGTTGCAGCCATCATTGTTGTTTGGCGGGTCCGGGCTGGGGATTCGAACCCACCACCTTAGGTGTAGGTGGCTGGCGCCTTAGCCGGTTGAGCTATAGGCGCCGAGCCGAAAACTTTTGATACTTTATGCTTAAGCAACACTTCATAAATAATTATTTATTTATTTTTAACTTTTTTTTTTGCCGTTTTTGGCTGGGGTTGGGTTTGAACCCACCACCTCCGGTATATGGGGCCGGCACCCTACTCCTTTGAGCCACTCTACTTCATAAATATTTAAATGAATGAATGGAACTTCATGGAGTAGGACTGGTACCTGAGACTTAAAGAGTAGATTTAATTTGTAACTGGGAGTATATTGCTTTGGATACTTTAAACTACAAGTAAAGAAAGACTTTGACTTGTCTTAAACTGTCATCACGGGCACAGGTTCCTTATCTTGCATCTTTGCCCTTGTCATGTTGGCTTTGTTTTCTGTTAGGTCTCAGGATGGCTGCCCCATATCTAGCCTTCACATGCAGACATAGTACCCAGTGGCAGAAAATATTATAGTATTACATCTTGTGAGTTTCTCTTTCTAGGCAAGGAAGCCTTTCCCGAGAGTCCTGTGGCAGACTTCTGTCATGTTTCTTGGTGATAGTTTTGTCAGTACTTATTCTTAAACCATTTACTGGTATGAGCAGAGTGATCACAGTAATTGACTTGGTGTGGCATTTGACTGTGTAGAAGATGATGAAAGGTTTGAGCCAACAGATGCTTTGTTAGAAAAGACTGAGAGGAGGAATCGTTGGGCAGGCAACCAGTGGCATTCATTTGGGATTCCTGCATCTCTTAGGCAGTGTGGGGCTCTCTGAAATAACATGTAACATTTTTTATATATAATTTTGATGGGACAAATTTTCATAGTTTTTTATAAGATTTCCTAGAGAAATACTATATAGCAAGGATTAGTTAAATGAGTTAAGAGTAAAGGTTTAAGACACACATTGTCTAGTTTTAGATCTGTATTTTTCATGTAAAATGTCTGGGACTTTAGGTAAATTTCTTCTTTTTGTCTCTGTTTCCTCATCTATGAAATGAAGTAACAGCTACTTGCTTGATGAGGATTAAATGTAAAACTCTTAGAATATATGCGGAATGTAGGTGTGTATTAGGTTTTGCTCCCAAAGTGGTCTTTAATTTTTTTTGGGGGGGGGAGGTGAAAGAGTCTCACTTTGTTGCCATTGGTAGGGCGCTGTGGTGTCATAGCTCACAGCAACCTCAAACTCTTGCACTGAAGTGATTCTCTTGCCTCAGCCTCCTGAGTAGCTGGGACTACAGGTACTCGCTGCAACACCTGGCTATTTTTAGAGAGGGGGCTCAAGCTGATCTTGAACCTGTGAGCTCAGGCATCCACCTGCCTTGGGTTCCCAGAGTGCTAGGATTATAGCTACTGTGCCCTACCTGGTATTTAATTCTTTAAATGTTAAGACTTACCGGGTTAGAAAGTTACTGAAGAGGAGGGATGTCGTAGCCAGGGGAGGTTAACATGAACAAAGGCAGGATAGCCTTCTGTTCTGTGTGGCCTCGTGGCCATTTTTCTCTAGCAAAGGAAGAGGGCATGTGTGTAGGGAAGGAAATAAACTTGGGGAAGGTATGTAATGAAGACACAGAGACGAAGGAGCATTTTGGAACGGATGTGCAGGAGGTAGTCAGAAGTATCACACACTGTTGAGCAAGGGACAAAGATGACATGATGGTGAAAGTAGCACTTGGGAATTGCTTTACGTGGTGAATTAAAGACTGTTGTCCAATCTTTTTTTTTCTTTTCTGCAACACATGGGAAGAATAAGAGTTTTCATGGGCCACACATTAAATACACAAACACTAATGAAAGCTGAAAAGCAAAAGAAAAGGTTCATGCATACTTTTCACGATATCCAACACTACAAATAAGCAAAACACTCTTCAAATAATATGCAGTGACCCATGGACTGCAGGTTGGACACTCATGATCTAGAGAGCAGTTCTCAACCTGTGGGTCTCAACCCACAGGAACTGTCTTAATGGCCACGGCATTAGGAAGGTTAAGAACCACTATCTAGAGGGTAATAAGGTGAGAAAAACTCTTGCAGATGACTTACTAGAAATCAAATGTATTGTGCTTCACTACATAGTAGTTGTATTCCTAAGAAACAGTGTGTTATGAATGCCACATTTTAAAGAGATGATTAGAAGAAATGTGTGGTTGGGGCTAAAGCATTTTCAGACTTGGAATAACAAAATCTTTCCCCCTTCCATAAATTCCTATAAACTTCTTCTTTAAAAAAAGTGTATTTAAAAAAAAAGTATATTATATCTCAATAAAACCTAAACATCACTGAATGAATCTAGCAATAGATTGATTATACTTGATTCCATGAGGTGTGGGCCTTAGCTAGTTAACTTTATTGTCATGTTTCCTTACCTGTAAGATGGGGATAATAGTATTATTAAGTCATTAAATATGAAATGTCCAATTTCAAGTCAGAAGTTCAGTTTATTGTATCTCAAACAAGAAGCAGTACAGTTATTCAGTGTGTGCCTAAACTGTCGACACTGTTTTGCCATCTTAACAGTAGCTTGTGTATGCCAGCAGCAAACAGGCCTGGAGAAAGAGTAGTGATGAAATTACAGACATTTTTCACAGCTTGTTGAGAATTGAATTTTTCCTTGCAAGAAGTGGTCCAGAGCCTGGAAGAAGTAGTAGAAGTAGTAGTCAGTTGGTGCAAGGTCTGGTGAATACAGGAGATGACAGAGTTTCCAGGTCTAGCTTTTGTAGTTTGACTAGCATTGTGTGTAAGAGCGTTATGTTGCAGAAGATTTTGGCCTGTCTTTCTTGACCAGTCTTGGTTGCTTAATGGCAGGCATCTTCAACTTTTCCTCCATTTGGTTATAGTCTTAGACAGCTGTTATAATCATTTGACCAGGTTTCATGAAGCTGTAGTAGATAATACCAGCACTGGATCACAGAACAGACACCATTAGCTTTTTTTGATGAATATTGGACTGGAGTTTTGGCACTTCATCTTTATCCGCTGATTGTGCCCAAAGCACAATGCCAGTTGTCAAAAAGAATTCATTTTTTGTTACATGTAGCAATAGATATGGTTCAGTTTTATGTTGTGACAGCAAAGAAAGGCAAGCTTCAAGGTGATTTCTCTTCTAATGCTTGATTAATTTATGAGGAGCCCATTTGTCCAGCTTCTTTACTTTGCTTATTTGTTTCAGATGGTTCAGTGTTGTTGGAATAGTATTGTTCAACTTTGCTGCTAATTCATGCATAGGTTGAGATGGATTCACTTCCACTACTGCTTTCTGCTTATTATTATTCACCTTGGTCTCAGGTTGCCCACGTGGCTCAATTTCAAGATTAAAATCATAAGAATGGAACTTATCAACCATCCACGTACTGTATGTTCATAACCCAAACGTTTCGTTGATATCTTGAGCTGTCTGCACTGCATTGGTTCCACGATAGAACTCATATTTGAAAATAACACAAATTTTTGATTCATCCTTGGTTACAAAAATTGCTGTAAAAAATTTTGAAAGATAATCACAAACCAAAACATGTGCTTGAAAGAATAAGAATGTGCATTCACAAAAATAAAACAAGAAATGTCAAAGTAAAACATCAGAGATACCAACTGTCAAACTTAGTACTTAAGAAAATTGGATATTTCATATTTAATAAACTAATGCTTCATGGAGTTATTGTGAAGAAGTGAAAATGTGTAAATTTTAAAGGGGACATAGTAAGTACTCAGTAAATATTCATTATAATCATCATCATTGTGATTATTGTTGGTTTTATTTATGTAATATTTATGTTTAGGATTGGTAGTGTTTTGCTTGGGCATTATAGTCTGTCTGAAGGTTGCCCACACTGTCATAGTTCATTTTACTGTTTTCCTTCTTACCACCTGTTTTATGATAAAGCTCAGAATCTATTAAATAGGTCTTGTGTGCCTGATTCCTGTGAGGTAACCAGGGCCTGAGAGATGGTGGGTTGAAGTTGACTCTGTAAGCTGTCTGTTCAGGGTCCTGCCAGAGAGAACTTCCCTGGTGTGAATCAGAGGTGACTTAGAATTCAGTGACTGGAACCAGACACAGTTGAGCCTAAGTCTAAACTCACCATTTGCAGCCTCTTTCTACTATAAAATTAGGTTGCTAGAAATGACTCCTTCAAAAGGAGAATATTAGTTATGTATAAGGTATTGATTTGTTTTTAAGTTAAAACTCTAAAAAATAATCTTTACAGTTCTTACAAAAACAAAGAAATGGGAAGTGAGATTATAGCCCCCTTCTCTTCAGAAATCCTTATTTTTCCTTGTAACTCATTTGAATTAATATGTATGTAGGGCTTAAAACAGTGTTAGGATCATAAAAGTGTTAGCTGCTATCATTATTAGATCATTTATACTGATTTATATTTCCCCATTACTTGCACGTTTTATCCAAGTCACTAGAAAAGTATACATCAACATTTTTACTTTAGAGAAAGTACTTAGAAATGAATACTTTTCATTTTACTACTCACTGGTAGAGCTGTCTTTCTAAAAGAGTATGTTAAGTTTCTATGTAATTTATGGAATCATACTGCAGTTGATATTTATAATTTAGAAATGATGAGGAAGTTAAGGGACTGTAGTGGTGGAATGATCTATGAATAAAAGCAAAGACCTACATAATATGATTTATTTATAGATCCCGTATTGAGTTAAGTAATTGTGTTTTAGTCCTCTTTCAGAATGTTATCAATGGTTATATTTTTGTTACCCATGTATTCTATTTTGAATATTCCTTATCAAAAATGCTTGGGACCAATAATGTTTAGATTTATTTTGGAATATTTGCATTTGCATTAATATCTACCGGTTGAGCATCCAAAAATCTAGAAAATTGAAATCTGAAGATGCTTCAATGAATATTTCCTTTAAACATCATGTTGATGCTCAAAAACTTTGGAATTTTGGAGGATTTTAGATTTCATATTTTTGGGTTTGGCATACTCAACCTGTATTATTATCATTACATACATCACTTATTTTATGAAAACAAACATGTCTGTATGTGCTGGTGTCTGTCAACCTTTATCGTATCAACTTAATTATATGACTTTGGACAAATCACGTTACCTACATAGGCATTAGTCATTTTATTTATTAAAGATGTTTAGACAAGATTATCTCTAATTTTCTTCCAGTTTAAAATGGATAGAATTTTGAGTTTTTTATTTGGTATGTTGTTTTTTCCTTCCCTATGGAAATTGTCATATTGTATTGTTATCCTAGAAACCTGTGACATATACATGTGATTTTTATATCCTTCTGATATTTGTTTGTTTGTTTTACAAACCCTTGTACTGAGAGAGACATTTGTTTATTTCAGTATGTATAATACAGTGGCTAAAAGCATGGCCCCATCACATACTAGAAGACAAATTACAGTTTTCCTTTGCTATAAAATGAGAATAGTAGGAGTACCTACCTACTTCATAGGGATGATGTGAGGTTTAAATGCATTAATATGTCTAAAGTGCTTAGAGTAGTGCTCTGCTCATACCAAGTGTTCAGTAAATGCTAGAGGCCACGATGATGACAATTCATTATCTTATCCTTATTGGAAGACATCTGAATGTGTTCTTGGCTTTTATTGATTTATTGAATGATTTAACTAGGCAAATTGAATCTAGGAAACTGTTGAAAATAAAAGTGGTTTTTAGAGCAAACACTAAACAGTGTTACTGCGAAGCAGTGATGGCTTTCAGTATATACTGAAATACGACAGGATTATCGAATCTTAGAATTTTAGTGCTAGAAAAGACCATAGAAGGAGGTCAGTTCCTACTCTCTGACTTGACTCTGGTGGGGATTGAAGCTCGAGGAAGTAATGTGACTTGGCCAATGTGACATAACTGGCTTGTGGGAAAACCCCCAGATCTTCATATTTTTCTGGGATATTTGTTCTTCCCTATATCTTGGACATTGAGTGTTTAATGTACAATTCTTAAATCATTTTATTGAATTTAGCTGTTGTGGCGGCTCGGCACGTGTGGCTCAAGTGGCTAAGGCACCAGCCACATACACCTGGGGTGGCAGGTTCGAATCCAGCCTGGACTGCCAAAAACAACGACAGCTGCAAACAAACAAACAAACAAAAAAAATAGCTGAGCATTGTGGTGGGCGCCTGTGGTCCCAGCTACTTGGGAGGCTAAGGCAGAAGACTCGCTTGAGTCTAGGAGTTGGAGGTTGCTGTGAGTTGTGATGCCACAGCATTCTACCCAGGGGGATAGCTTGCGGTTCTATCTCAAAAAAAAAAAAAAAAAGAATTTAGCTGTTGTTATAGCAATTCTTGACAATCATGATTTTAACAGAATGTTGATACTGCTAAAGTATTCCTTTAAAATAGAGAAAAATAGTCACAGGAAGGAAGCTAGTGTCCAGAAACAGATTAACTTTAACTGTGAGAAGAATGAGTGCTGTTATTCTTATTTAGATAATTTTATTTTTACTGTGAATGATTTGTTGGATTCTCTGTGGTTATTATTTTAAATCGAATATTGTCTCCTATAACTAGCTGAGATGAGAAAGAGGTCCTCCAGGTAAACAGAAGGAGAGGACAGCACTCTGAATCCTTGAGATTTCTAGTTGGGAGACCTTAGGATTTCTAGTTGGGAGAAATTGTTTCGAATGTTTGTATTTCTTTTTTAAAGAATACTTTCTTACTAAACATTGGCTTGGAAGAATTACTTTGAATGGAGAGTACTCATTGCAAAGTGAATTTTCCTGAGTCATATTTTGTTTGTTGACTTTTCATATTTGTTTTCAGTTATAGGTTTATGATAATGGATCGCTTTGGGAGTGACCTTCAGAAAATATATGAAGCAAATGCCAAAAGGTTCTCTCGGAAAAGTGTCTTGCAACTAGGCTTAAGAATTGTATGTGAGCTATGTTCTTCGTGTTTTTAAAAAGTTGTTTTTAAAACAGTAAAGGCTAGTTTGTGCTGAAGCTTGGTCCTCTGCTGGTTGGTATTAGGTACTGCATTAATTTATTCTGTATGGTACTTCCATAGCTGGATGTTCTTGAATATATTCACGAGCATGAGTATGTACATGGAGATATCAAGGCCTCAAATCTTCTTCTGAGCTACAAGAATCCTGACCAGGTAGTTTTATAACTTTAATTTTGACTATTTAAAACATGTTTAAAAACAAATATGGTTGCTTTGAACTTTTGAACCCATGCAGAAGTTTTACTTTTCAAGTAGTTATGGTAATAATAATATTTCTTCTTGACACTTTTATCTAGTTAACATTCTACATTTTTGATGCAATTTGTTGGCACTTTATCAAGTTGGCTATTTTGCCCAAATAATATTCAGAAGAAGTACTTGTGATACAAAATGAATTTCAAGTAGCTATTTGGGGGTGGAAGCTTAAAATTATATAGTACACCAATGAATTATGTTTGCCTGTCTGCTTTGTCACTTTTTTTATTTCCTTTGTTCAGGAAATCCATCAAATGTAAGTGTTTTGTTACTTGGAAAATTTGGTCTTTAACATGTTGATTATTCAAATCAATTGGTTTACAGAAATATCTTAGCTGTCTAAATTCATATACCCTTAGTGTTTGGAATTCAGATGTGCATTTTTTAAAGTTTATTACATTCCCTTTGTAAGTTTTACTTTCTAAGGAAAAGAGAAAAGTTAATGTTACTAAACTTTTATTTGGGTCATTTAATTGGGGTAGAGATACCCAGACAATTTTCTGGTAAAGCTGTTTTCATGATTTTGGTAAAAGTAAGGTTTACTTGACACTCAGAATTGGGCCACTATACTTAATGTATGTTCTCACTTCTTAATTGATCTTATATGAAGAAAAGGATAGTTTAAACATTTTGAATGTGTTGGGTCCTTTGGTTGTTTTAATTTGTTGTCAGTATTCTACACTTGATTTTTCTTTTCCTCCCACCTACCTTTAATTACTTCTGCATCATTTTTCCTCTTTCCTTTGCTTTCTTTTCTTTTTCTGTTATCTCGTGTATTTGCTTTCCTTTCTCCCTTGTCAGTTAGGGTGGCTATAAGGGAATCTAAGTAAGTATGACAGAAGAAAGTTGCTATACTATAGCGTTCTAATGGAGAAATCTTAAAAGTCATCACCAAATTCATAGCCGGTTTTTCTAGCAGTCTTCTTCTAGATGTGTTTAGGTTAAAAACAAAACACAGCTAAGAATCTTAATAAGGCTTCCAATAATTGAAGCAGATTGAACTTGTATAATACAGTCAATAAAAATACAGTTTTTATCAACTGGCATTTGACTAAAGCATTCTCCCTTTTTTATATGGAAATATTTTTAATGCTCCGATATCCTTTGGACATGTGCTTTGGATGGGATTATTTTCCCCACATTAGATGTGTGCTAGTTCTATCCCCATATTTTTACTTAAGTTTCCCTTTGTGCCCAGATGCATACATTTGTGACATTTACCTAGAATTAGAGATGTAATATGTGGCTGTGGAATAGAAGAAAGGCAGATTTATTAGCTTTGTGTACCCATCAGACCCATGTGTATATGCTCACAGATATGTATGTATATAATATTAAAATTTAGTTTTAATCATGAAGACTTGACTTTAATATATAGTACTTAAATGTAGATAAGAGCCTTATTTAAAAGTTCTTTAGATCATTACTAGAATCAAAGAAATATTTTTGTGAAGTAAATTGGGATTTGATTATTTTACAAGTGAAGAAACATAGGAATAGAAGGTAACTAATGTATTGTCAACTCTGTTAGTCTCCTACTCTCTGTGCTTTTCTATGTGGAAAGTGGCATTGTATTGCAACAAAGTGTTGATGGTTTACTTTGTGCTCAATTTTGTGTTAGACTCTGTAAGAGAAAATATGAAATTTATAATCCTTGTTCAAGTTGAAGAGATAAGATTAATTACGAGTGTAACATGTATCTGAAGAAGCATGTAAAGTCAATGATAATATCTAGACTACAGCTACGTGGTCATTTAACTTTGTTATTAAAAAGTCTCTCAGAATGGAATATTTGTTCCTGTTTGTCTTTTAGATATAACTTGTTTGGGGCACGATGGTATGGCCTTGTTGGTGAATCTACCCTTAAGTGGCAGTGTTTTGTTTCTGTGCTTTACAGGAATATGTGTGCATGATTTTGCCTTTAATTTGTCTTGCTGCTTGGAAATTTATAGGTGTACTTGGTAGATTATGGCCTTGCTTATCGGTACTGCCCTGATGGAGTTCATAAAGAATACAAAGAAGACCCCAAAAGATGTCATGATGGCACCATTGAATTCACCAGCATTGATGCACACAATGGCGTGGGTATGTCAGTGGTACTTGAATGAGAAATTCACTGCTGAAGTTTTTAATTGAATTCCTACACAGCTCTTAGTTATGCATAGGTAAATAAATAGGTAGGTAAATAAGAATTGAAGAGGCAAGCTGGGATGGGGAAAGAAGGCAGAGGTGAGACTCCTACAATTATATTGCAGGGTCATCTTGTATTATTCTCTCCCTCTTCTTCCTCCCAGCCTTCAAAGATAACCAAGAAGTGGTGAGGTGGTTCATTCAATTGCAATAAGGATTTCTTTTTGGTTTATTTAGTTTAACTGAAAGGTTGGTTTGTTTTGTTTTTTCCAAGGTTTGTAAGTTTTCCGGGTAGCTACCACTTTATAACAGGTAAACTTATTTGGCCACCTGTTAAGTTAACTTACTCTTTAGCAGTCATATCCTTTTTTTTTTTTTTTTTTTCTGTGCCCAACACTTGTGGAGGATCTCAAACACTTAGCTCTCTGGGCCTTGCAATAGCATATAACATTTTAAAGAATCTTTTAAGGTTTTTCAAAGGCAATACTAAATATCATTGTTTTACAATTTATTTGCTAGACTAATAGTCTCAGCTTGAAACCCTAAAGTTTAACAGTTTGGGTTTTAAAATAAATTATTAGTAGAAGGTAAATTAGGAGGCATTTAGGGAGAACCTTTATTATTTTTTTTATACTGCCCAATGTTCAATGCTAATATTAAATATAGTGGAAATTTTGTGATGAGAAACAGACTGTGGAGTTGATTGCTTTACCTTATTGCTTCATGTATACTTGAAATTATACCTTAAAAATTATTTCAGTAATCGCTTCTTGGCCTTTGGCTAAGATTGAGTGTAAAAATGATTTCAGTATATTCATTCTTCTTCTTTTGCATTTGTAGCCCCATCACGACGTGGTGATTTGGAAATACTTGGTTATTGCATGATCCAGTGGCTGACTGGCCATCTTCCGTGGGAGGATAATTTGAAAGATCCTAGATATGTTAGAGATTCCAAAATTAGGTAAAGAAGAACTTACAATTATTTTGGGCAAAATCATGGTGAGGCAAATGTTTTTAGTCAGAATTTCTTTCTTTTTTTTTTGAGACAGGGCCTCAAGCTGTCCCCCTGGGTAGAGTGCTATGGCTTCACTGCTCACAGCAACCTCCAACCCCGGGGCTCAAGCGAGTCTCCTGCCTCTGCCTCCCAAGTAGCTGGGACCACAGGCGTCCGCCACAACGCCCGGCTATGTTTTTGGTTGCAGCCATTATTGTTGTTTGGTGGGTCCGGGCTGGATTTGAACCCGCCACCTTAGGTGTATGTGGCTGGCGCCGTAGCAGCTTGAGCCACAGGCGCCGAGCCTAGTCAGAATTTCTTAACAGGATCTGTAGTTTATCTAATGTAGAAATAAGAAGGTACTTATTAAATAGTAAGCTTTCTTGGTCTTTTGTTTATTTTATTTTAGAAAAATGTCTGTAAGCTTATTTAGGTTGTAACACAATATTACTTAATGTGCTATTTATTGCTATTAAATATTAATAACATTTTATGATATCAATCTTCAAATAATGACTCAATCTTTAATTTTTAACAGATATAGAGAAAATATTGCAAGTTTGATGGAAAAGTGTTTTCCTGAGAAAAACAAACCAGGTAGGAAAAGATTTCTTAAATATTAACAGGGATTTTCGGGGGCGGGGGGAAATGCATGGAATATCCTTTAACGTAAGAGCTTATGTATAATCATTGTACTGGAGTCTCCCTTCCCAAATGTTCGTTGAGTCTCATTCAGTTATTAATTCAGTGCTTTCAGGAAAGGAAGCATATTTCATCCATTCAGCTAGTATTTATTGAAGCACTATTGTGTGCCAGGGACTGTTCTAGAAACTGGCACTTTGAGTATATCAATAAACAAAAAAATCCTTGTACTTAGGAATCTAAATTATAGTTGGGAGAGAGAAATAGTAAACAAATGAGTGAATTTTATAGGATGTTACATAGTTAGTGTTGTAGAGGAGAAGAAAATGGGAAAGAGATGAAGATGGGATGGGAATTAAAGTGAGAAGGAGGATTGAAATTTTAAGTAAGATGCCAAGGACAGCCTCCCTGAGAAGGTGACATTTGTGTGGCATCAGATAAGAGAGTGAGCTGCATGGACGTCTGAGGAAGAGAGTTCTAGGCAAAAGGGACGCACATGCCCAGTGGATTCTAGGTATAAGTCCTTGTAGGTCATCATGAGGGCTTTGGCCTTTACTTTGAGCAAGAGTGTGAGGTTTGGAGTAGAAGAGTGACATGAACCGTCTTGTCTTAGGGGGAAACCTTCTGTTGTGAGGATAGACTGCTGAGGGAGCAAGGAACCGCCTGAGCAGGTAGCGCCTGAGCAGGATAGAAGGCTGCTGCTGTAATCCAAGCAAGGGACAGAGCAGCAAAGGTAGTAAAAAGCAGTTGATTTGGATATAGTTAGAGTCTTTTTAAGCCTTTGCTTAATTGTCTCCTCTTCCGGAAGGTCTACCCTGACCTCAGGCTATTTAAAATTGCATCCTACCACCCATAGCAAGAAATACAACGTGACTTTCTCAGAATTACCCCACATGTCTCCTATAGCCAGTAAATCCTTTTCCTCTGGGCCTCATGAACTACTTGCTAACTTCCAACATCAAAGATTTGTTCTTAAAATTTATAGGAATGTAGTCGTACAATGGACAAAATAGATAAAAAAAAATCTCTGCCCTCATGAAATTAGCATCCGTTTCTGTTAGCGTCCTTTTCTTTCACATAAATTTGTGAATTCATCCCCATTTTTGCATGTTTAACAGTGGCTTGTTCATTTTTCATTTCTATGTAGTAGTCTACTGTATTTATATATCATTATTTATTTATCTTTTGTGTTGTTAGGTTGTTCTAAGTTTGGCAGTTATGAATCACTAATTACACGTATAGTCTACCTGCAATTGATTTTTGTGTATTATACGAGGAAGGGTTGGGTTTCTTTCCCATCCCCATATTTATATCTAGTTGACCCAGCAGCCTTTCTTGAAAAGACCATTCTTTCCGTATGATGCCACATTTGTTGTAAATCAAGCATGGATCTGTGGATATGTTCTGGACTCTTTTTTTTTTTTTTTAATTGCTCTTTTTGTCTATTCTTGGGACACACTGTCTTAATTATTATAGCTTTATTGTAAGTCTTAATGTGGTAGTATCTGATAGTTTAGGTCCTCTAGCACTATTTTTCTTTAAACTTGACTTCGTTACTTTGTTATTTTTAGCCCCCTTACATTTCTGTTTTAAGTTTAGAATCATCTTGTCACCTCACGCTCCTGCTCCTAAGTTTGCTGGAACTTCATTTGGGACTTGACTAGTTTGGAGAGTATTGACATCTTTATGTTGTTGAGTCTTCCAGTCCACTCATGTTTTATTTATTTATTTATTTATTTATTTTTTGGTAGAGACAGAGTCTCACTTTATTGCCCTCAGTAGATTGCTGTGGCGTCACAGCTCACAGCAACCTCCAACTCCTGGGCTTAGGTGATTCCCTTGCCTCAGCCTCCTGAGTAGCTGGGACTACAGGCGCCCTCCCACAACGCCCGGCTATTTTTATGTTGCAGTTTAGCCGGGACCAGGTTTGAACCTGCCACCCTCAGAATATGGGGCTGGCGCCCTACCACTGAGCCACAGGCGCCACCCTCCACTAATGTTTTATAACCTTTATTAAATTTAGTCTTTCTCTCAACTGTGTTTTATAGTCTCCTGGAAAAATCTTGCCCTTCTTTCATTGTATTTTTGCTAAGTATTTGATGCTTTTTGATGCTATGTTAAGTGACATTTAAAAAATTTTAATTTTTCATTTGCTTTTTACTAGTATGTAGAAAAAGGATAGATTTTAATATATTTACCTTGCATCTTGTGACCTTGCTGAATTTACGTATTAGTTCTAGTATGGTTTTTTTTTTTTTTGGTAGAATCTATAGAATTTTCTTCATGCACTGTCATGTTGTTTGTTTGTGACAAAGACTTTTTTATGTCTTTTGTTCCACTCTATGCCATCTATTTCTTTTCTTGCCTTAATTATACCAGCTAAAAGCTTATGTGACTATTACATTATGGAATGAAAGTAGTAAAAGTGGATATCTTAACTATTGAGCTCTCTCAGAGGAAACATTTTGCATATTTTACCATTCATGGTAGTATTTGATTTAGGTTTTTTTTTTTTTTTTTTTTTTGAGACAGAGCCTCAAGCTGTCCCCCTGGGTAGAGTGCCCTGGCATTACAGCTCACAGCAACCTCCAACTCCTGGGCTCAAGCGAGTCTCCTGCCTCGGCCTCCCAAGTAGCTGGGACCACAGGCGCCCTCCACAACGCCTGGCTATTTTTTGGTTGCAGCCGTCATTGTTGTTTGGTGGGTCCGGGCTAGGGATTCGAACCCGCCACCTTAGGTGTATGTGGCTGGTGCCTTAGCCGGTTGAGCTATAGGCGCCAAGCCTTGATTTAGGTTTTTTGTAGATTGCTTTTGTCAGATGAAGAAAATGGAAGTTTGGGAATTTTGCCCTTTTTTTCTTGATGTATTCCAAGTATCTAGGATAGTGTCTGGCACATAGGGGCTGCTAAATGTTTGAATTAATGAATGTGTGTATTTTATGTGTACGTGGCACTGACAAGATCTCTTAATATATGAGATGTGGAGTATGAGGAAAGGAAAAGATTTTTAAGGTAATTAAGATTTCGGCTTACATAACTAGAAGGATTGAGTTCTCTGTAACTGACACAGGGAAAACCATAGGGAACAGGGTTTCAGGGTAGGTCAGGAGTTTGGATGTGGATTTGAGATGATAGTTACACATCCAGAAATCCATAGATGAGGTAGTGAAGATACAAGTCCAGAGGTCAGGGGAAAAGTCCCCAAAATGAATTTTTAATGTTAAAAAGTGTTAATCTTAAATAGTAGGATTTCTTTTTATATTGTGGTTCTGCTTCAGTATACAGTAAACCCTTTATCATTCAATAGTCAGTTTTTCTATTTTATGAGGAAACCACACCTTACTTCTTTTCTTCAACCTGTTTTTGGTGTGTTTTATTTCTTTTTATACAAAGAATGCACCTATCTGCCATAGAAGGAATGGCTTCTATGGAAAGAAAAATTGAGTGTTGACTGTGATAAGTCATTGTACTTATGGACATTTTACTTTTATAATCTTTTTTTCTAAGTCCTTTTGTAATTTTTATAGTTTTAAAACTATCACAGTTATGATTTATACATTAAAAAATTTTAAGTTATGTGTCTTACTGTCTCTCACAATTACAAAAGTGTTTTTTACATTGTATCTCAAAATACATTTTTTATTTGACTAAGCTGACAGTTTCTGAGTTCAGTATCATATTTTTCATTGAAGTGATTGGGAAAAAAACATGTATCTTAACAAGATATTGTATGTTCGCATTCTAAGCTTGCTACAACCATGAATTATTTTCTTAAAACTGAGAGATAAAAATATCGGATTTGTGATTAAAAGTTATAAAATGATTGTGTTATTCTTTCAGGTGAAATCGCCAAATACATGGAAACAGTGAAATTACTGGGCTATACTGACAAACCTCTTTATCAAAATTTACGAGATATTCTTTCACAAGGACTGAAAGCTATAGGAAGTAAAGATGATGGCAAACTAGACCTCACTGTTGTAGAGAATGGAGGTCTGAAAGCAAAAACAATAACAAAGGTGAATTTTTAAATTTAATTATCCTTTTGTGATTATAATTGTAACAAATACCGATTTTAAGAAAGTATACCTCAGGGAAGAAAATAATAACAAATTGCTTGGCAATTAAATATTTATCACCACTATGTAAAGGCACACTTTTTTAAGGATTCACGGTGATGTGTAAAGGATTGTAGAAAAATAAATATATATATTTTATGTCTGGTAACAAGCTATTAAATTTCTAAAATGATCCTAACTTGGGATATTGATATCCAGTAGAGGGATTGTGATGGGGCACGGAGCTGATAATTTATGTGTTCTGTTCTTCCAGTGGCTTGTTGCTCAGCTTGTCTTAACTTGTGAATATGGTCAGAGTATTTATTATTTTAAAATTGGTATTTGAAAAAATTGTCATTTGGAAATTTTCTTGTTGGTTGCTGTGTTTACCATTTGAACATTATTTTGCGTTTTGAAGAATTGTCATTTTGTAAAGCCATATATCTGTATATAAAAGGATTAATTTGGGGGAAGAGAAATACTAAACAATGAACTTTATGGTAGAAGTATTAAACCTGGAAAGAACTCCTGGTATCACTTTAAAATTTAGATTTTACAAGTAGGCATTAACTTATGGATTTAGTGTTGGTTATTTTTGATAATATATTGATAAACTTGTTGATTTCCCTTATAGTTTGAAATTATTTAATAAAATGTGTTAGCTGTTTCTATATGGAAAAGGAAAAACTACTTTTAGAAGAAAAATATTTTTCCTTTCATTAACTCTGTAAATTCTAGTAACTTTTGGAAGTCACATATTCCTAACTATGAGAAAAAGGGTTAAAACAAATTTTCTCTCAAAATCAGAAGCAGCATATTAAAATTTTTTCATCTTTTTTAATTACTGAAAGAGATAAGAATTTCAAAATTGGATCAAGAATTTAACTCTTTTTGGCAAATAGCTGATTGTCCTTGTAATTTTATTGTAGAATCTGGAATTGTATTCATCTACTTATATATGTTTTTCTTTCACAAGTTTTGTCTTGATTGTGTCTGCTGTTTTTGTGGTGAACTTGTGTGCTAAAAGGCATATCAGGTTTGAAATGAGGAGGGTAGACTTGGAAGCCTAACTGGGATGTTTCAGGAAGGTGGTAAACTTATCGTTTGCATATATGCATAATAAACATATAGAGTGCATACTTGTATTTTGTTGAAGACAGACTTCTCTGCATTATATTTATATAGCTAGCTTCTACAGTGCTTTCCTCAAAATTTTGCTGATTGAGATATAAAGATCTCTGCTGTAGTAGGAACTTATCCGGAGTAACTCCCCCTTCCTTTTGCAAATCCCTGTTGTTTGGACCTACATGCTGGAAAAAATTTAGTTTCTGCAGGTTGGCTGACTTTACAGCTGAGTAGGTCAGTCTGCTGCAGAGCTAACATCTGTGACCTTAAAATTCTCTTGTGTCCTTGGGTAGTTCAGAAGGCTGGAAATTTCCTGTTGAATCATCTCCTACATGTATAAAGCTTCATTTGAATTATTAGGAGGTCTACTTCATCAGTTTACTACTGCTTTTTGTATACTCATCGCTGACTCAGGGCTACTCTTTGTATTAGAAAGAAATTACTAAAAGTTAACATGAGGTTAGGTAAGATCACAATGCTGCTTGATAGCCATGTAACTAAAATGAGTTATTAATTTTGTTGGCTTTTATTTTAAAGTGAAACAATTGGATCAGACCCAAGTTTTAAAAAGCTTCTCTTGCTTTTTTTTACGCTACAAAACATTTTTTTCAAATATATTGTAAATGCCCCTATCTAAAACAGATAACAGGAAAGCTCCACTGAAGGAAAAGTTGGGGTCTCCCTACAAGGAAAAGTGTTCTCCTTTGAGAAACTAGTTGTCTCTTTTTAAAGTAAGGTCTATAATCCAAATACCCTTTTTTTGTTCTGGTTACCAGAAGGCTCAAAAGCATTAATTAACTCGTATATACATGTGTTAGCATATTTGCTTCCTTGTCTTTTCCTTTGTCATGATTTTTAAAAGTAAGTATATTTTAAAAGTACTTTGTATTTGTCAGACTCAATTTCTTTTGGAAAGAGGTAGTTTTAATCAATTCACTGTGTATTTCTCTTGAGGTTCCTAAGAGATGTTCTTTATGGTAAAACCTATAGGAATTGATAAACAATGGAATAATGGAAGGTTTCTTTTTCTTTTTCTTTTTCTTTTCTTTTCTTTCTTTTTTTTTGTGACCATGCTTGACTGTGGTAATATATTTGGAAACTGGAGTGAAATATGAATTTACCCACTTGGAAATGTTTTCAGCTTAATAGTCAAAGAATTTTATTTAAAGCAGAGAATTTTGGATGGCTTAGGCTAAAGAAAAAAGAGACCAAGTATAAATCTGCCTTAAAAAATATAGAGTCAGAGATTTTTATTGTTGATTAGAACTAAACAGTTTTATTAGCATCTGGCAGTACAGTGCAACCGTTATTGGATTCATTGTATACTCATAAATGAGCATTCAACAATTATGTGTAAGGTGTAATTTATGTTCCTGGTCTAGGCTAAGTCACTGGGACTACAGAGATCAATGACATGTAGTCCCATCCTTAGAGAATTCATCCCTGTTCCATCTGGGTTAGGAAAGCTTAATTTACTAGAGGGAGCTCGGCAAGTTAAAAGGGCATTAATACCTCTGTTAGCTATTTTCTGGTAAGATTTTGATTAAGTTGCCTGCCCAAGTTAACAAAAAGAGCTATTGATTAGGAATCTCTAGTGAATCTCATCCCTGGAGAGTCATTGGATAGGTTTAGAGCATGGCCCTACAGTTTGTAGTTTTGTAGTTTTTCATTTTCAGATAGTATGTATTGCTGTTCCCTATGTAATGTGGTGTACCTTTTTCTCCTTTTACCCAGTTTCACCTTTTAACTTTTCAGTTTTGTTTTTTTAGCTATTTTATACTAATTGACTTTTCTAGAGTTTCTCAGAAAAGTCATTCACCATAAAGTCATTCACCATAGTTAAATGAACCCCTGCTGGCATTCATTCTGAAACAGGGTACAAAGAGTTACTTACATAAGAGCAAAATCCTTCCATTGCAGATCAGCCTGCAGCCACTCCGGTGAACCACTCACTTTCTCTCTGAGTAAGGGGATTGATAGAACCTCAATCTTCATACAGTAGCCTGTAGTTTCAGATTGGGAGCTCCCTACAAAGAAAAGTGTTCTCCTTTGAGAAACTAGTTGTTTCTTAAAGATACCCTCTAAATTTGGTGAAAATCTATCTAGCTGTTCTAGGCTGATGTGGTAATAGAGATAAGCTCTTATTTTAATTATATTAGTTTAGATTGTTGGAATTCATACATTTCTGTTTTCTAATGGTTTGGCCATAATGGTATATTTAGGTGGATCTAGCATTTACTAACAATTTTTTTTTTCTTAAAAAAATTTGTTTATTTGTTAGTTATTTTCAACCTCCTTTTCTTTGGGTGAATTTTATCAGCTTTCTTTCCCCTTCCTAATTTTTTTAAGCAAGATTATTACATATGTACAGAAGAGCACAGGAATAAGCATGAGATTTGAACTTTATAAAGTGAACATACACACTTAAACATCATCCAGTTCAAGATATAGATCATTACCAGAATTAATTTTGCAGGTTTTTAAAAAATTTATGGTAATAATATCATATAGTATATAGTCATTTCATGTCTTCTATTCAGTTGGACATCTGAGTTTCCATGCTGTTGCATATAACAAAAGTTTATTGTTTTTCTTTGCTATGTAGTACTTTATATGACTGTGCTATAATTTATCCCTTCTACTATTGATAGATGTTTAAATTGTTTACAGTTTTGGGTAATTGCAACGATGTTACTAAGAATAGCCTTATAATTTTTTGGGGGGAGGGCATATACTGTAGACCTCCAGAGTTGACCTCCTCTCTACATCGATTACCTCCTTTCGTTGACCTAACAGCATAGACCAGACATGCACCACATGTATATAACAGGGGAGTAGGCCTAGTTCTTTATGTGGAACTATGTGTCCATCACCTTGTTGACCAGTTTGTTACAGTATTACTTTCAGGAGGTCAAATTACAGAGGTTCTACTGTATTTATTTCAGGTATATACATAGTGGAGTTGCTGAGGCACAGGGTTTATGGATATTCATCATTATTAAATACTGCCAATCAGGTTTCCAAAGTTGCTATCTCAATTTATATTCCTTCAGCAGTTTATGGCAGTTCCAGTTGCTCGCTGACAACTATTTCATTTTATTTAATTTAACCTGTTTGGGTGGATATGTATAATCTTTTTTATGGTTTTACTTTAAACTCCTTGAAGAATTGATTTTGAACCTTTTATTCCCGTAGACCTTAGTTACCTTTTTTTTTTTTTTTTTTTTGAGACAGAGCCTCAAGCTATCCCCCTGGGCAAAGTGCCATGGCATCACGCTCACAGCAACCTCCAACTCCTGGGCTCAAGCGAGTCTCCTGCCTCTGCCTCCCAAGTAGCTGGGACCACAGGCGCCCGCCACAACGCCCGGCTATTTTTTGGTTGCAGCCATCATTGTTGTTTGGCGGGTCCGGGCTGGGGATTCGAACCCGCCCCCTTAGGTGTACGTGGCTGGCGCCTTAGCCGGTTGAGCTATAGGCGCCGAGCCAGTTACCTTTTATTTGTAAAGTGTATTTTAAATCTTTTTCCATTTAAAAAAAAAAAGCTGAGTTGTCAACTTTCTTTTGATTTGCCAGAGTTGAGTATATGTATATGTATATACATATACATTGAGTATATGTATACAATATATGTATTGCACATACCATCTTCTAGTTGGTATGTGGTTTGGTTTATCTTTTCACTCCTTTCATGTGGTATCTTGATGAAAAGAAGTTCTTTATTTTAATGAAGCCCAGTTTATCAGATTTTTTTGTTTGTGGTTAGTGTTTTTTGTATTCTATTTAGGAAAATTTTATCTACTTCAAGATCATGGAGATACTATATTACCTTCAAGAAA